CTTTCAGTAACTCTGCAAAACATGCATCATGCTGATTGTTGTGGAGGAGAAAACTACGGCCCGGGGAGGCTGTGTACCTCGACCAACATCACAGCGGGCAGAGCCAGGCGTGGGTTTCTGCCCAGCCTCCTAGCCCTGACTCTGCGTGCTGCATCCATATGGTAGAAGGGGTTCATCTGGAGCACAGGCTCTTTGTTCTTCTGGGTTATAGAATCTTTCCAGAATCTGATCAGCGTTTAGATCTGCCTTTCAGAAACATGGGCACACACCCACACCCACACCTTTCCATGTGAGCCCATGCAGCACACAGAGCCCTTAAAGCTCACTCATGCTCCGTGGACTGTTCCCAGTGTCCTGGTTCAGGGGCCTTTGTCAGTGATTCTCAAACCTGGCTACACACAGAATTACCTAGAGAACCCTCCCCAGAACCCCACTGGTCCGCAAGCCCCAACACCAAACCAATTAAGTCTGATTCTCTAGGGGGTTGGGTATTTTTTAAGGTTCCCCAGGTGGTTCTAATGTGTAATGATGGTTGAGAACCGTTGGCTAAGATGATCCTGAAGAAACACCTTTTAAGATTCTATGGTGGAGGCGTTTTCGTTTTCCTGATACAGAGAACATATACAGCTCTATTTGGTTGAATTCAGTAGACGACACGGTTAATAAATGGCTGCAGTGTGCAAGGAGAGAGGAACCACAACTGAAGAAGTGCTGAGGAGGAGACTGCAGGGGCCATGCTGAGGGCTTGGGGAGGGGGAAAAGACATGATCAGGTTGGACTGGAACACGCCACAAAAACAGCCCCTCTGTCACCTTCCAGACCAGGGAGAGTATGAGGAATTCTCTTCCTGTTCTCCAGGTTAGAGATGATGAAGGCAATAGATTTATTAATGGCAAAGACGACATGGAGCTGGCAGCAATTTTGGAGGCAGAATCAACAGGCCCTTGAGATGAGAGGATGTGCAGAATAAGAGAGACAGGTATGGAAGGGAGGCCTACATTTTTAGCTGGGGCGATTTGGGAGAGCGGCACGGAGGGCCAGAGGAGGGGGAGTAGAGCTCCAGGCAGAGGGGTCAGCTATGAGAAGCGTGGGGTGCTTAGCTCTGCACATGGCTTTGGGGCACCTGTAGGGCTTGTACGCAGACCCACCAGGCATAGAAGATGCAGCTCCTGCTTGGGTAATGAAGGCAGGAGGAGAAATAAAGTAGAATCCTGGTGATAAAGTCCATGAATATCTGTATTTTTCCATAAAATGATCTCCTTTCTATGAATCTCTCTAGTCTAGACAGACATTCCTCTAAATAAGCATGCAGAATCTGCCTCAGGGCAGAGATTTCAAACCTCACACTGCAGCCCATTAGTGGGTCATGAAATCTATTGAGTAGGTCATGCCTGGCACTGAATAAAGGAATAGAGTGGAAAATATCACAGTGCCTGTCATATCATAAGGAAACTGCTTTTTAAGGTAAGCAGTAAGGAAAATATTTTTTACGTAAAACTTTGTTTCCGGGGGCGGGTGTGTGTGTGTGGCATACTAAGTCTGGATGTGAAAACTGGCCCTCCACCTCAGCACGAGGAAGCTGAACTGAGGTCCTCTATTCTAAATCAGAGTCCGTGGCATGAGTCCGTTTCTCCAGCCTTCCTGCCAGAGATGACCATCAAGCCTCAGTGTCACCTCCTGGGTCAGGTTATGCTGGTGGTAGAACAGCAAGTCCCATCTGTGTGAACCTGCTGGTCTGTGAATGGCCTATTCCTTTCCAGCCCCTGGGCACGTAGCAGCACCATACGTGGGTGTGCCCCAGGGCTGCCCTGTGCTGTGTGCACTGCCCTCAGCCTTGGTCCTCTACTTCCAGAGCAGAAGGCCCTCCAAACATCAGCAAACTCCAAGATGCTAGCGACAACCAGTGTTCCAAGGTTCCAGGATGTGGACCTCAGCTGTTACGGATCCCTGCACCCACCCACCCCCAAAATTGCCTCTTGGAGTAGCCTGACTTCATCCACCTTTCTATTCTGTCCTTTTTCTATCGATGGTCTGCAGAAAATCCTGTTACCAAGCCTTTGCTAAATCTAGGATGAGGTTAGGAGAACGAAGAGTAATCTAAGAAGGGTACTCTTTCCTCAGGACTGCAGGGAGAACTTAGTTTTTGGCCTGAGGAGTGGGGAGGGGAGAAAGGATTAATCGGGGCAGTGTTCTGCTCTGGCTTGAAGGCCGTCTCCAGTGAGGGCCACACCTTACACGGGACACTTGCCTACCACTCGGGGGAAAATCCACTACACAGGGAAGCAGGCCACCAGGTGTAAAATATGGTTTCTAATCTGTATACTGAAGAGATGTCTGTACTTCTATGTTCACTGCAGCACTATTTACAATAGCCACGATACAGAATCAACCAAAGCGTCCATCAGCAGATGAATGGAGAAAATGTGGTACGTGCACACGCTGGAATATTGTTCAGCTATAAAAAAGAATGAAATTCTGTCATTTGCAACAACATGGATGGAACTGGAGGCCATTATATTAAGTGAAATAAGCCAGGCACAGAAAGACAGATTGTGATATTCTCACTCACATGTGGGAGCTAAAAATTAAAGCAATTGAACTCATGGATACGGAGAGTAGAATGATGGTTACCAGAAGCTGGAAAGGGTAGTGGAGATGGTAAATAGGTGAAAAAATGTAGTTAAATAGAATAAATACGATGTAATATTTGATCATACAACATAGGAGAGAAGGATGGTGACTACAGTCATAATTTATTGTATATTTTAAAATAGCTAAAAGAGTGGAATTGGAATGTTCCTAATGCAAAGAAATGATAAGTGCTTGACGTGAGGAATACCCCAATAACTCCGGTTTGATTTTTACACATTTTATACCTGGATCAAAACGTCACATGCACCCCATAAATATATACACCTATTAGTGCCCATAGTCATTAACAATTTAAAAAGTTACGATTTCTAAATGCACTTTGGGATTCTTGCACCCCCAGACATACTGCCCTGGATCCGAGGGAGGATGGTGGAGGGTGGACGGAGGGACAAAGGAATGAGACAATGAGTACCAGATGGCCCTCTTGAGAGGAGACCTCTGAAGTTTGCCAGATCTTGATACTAAACAGTCTTATCTTGCAGGGCATGCCACCGCTTCTTTCCTGTGATTGTGATTATTAATATTGTACAGAAATTTGGCAAGTAGTTTTTTCCCCTAAAAAATGAATTTTCAGGACAAACTCATATCTGATCTTAAACAGCTGACAGTGAAGTTTGCAAAGAACATGTTTTAAATAGATACAATCTCAAGTTCCAGAAATCACTGATAATTGTTATTCAGAGTCCAAGGCAATCAAGGTTGCTTTCTTTACGGTATGTAGAGCTGTCTTAGAGTGGGTTTAATAAGAGAACTTGATTATGCCCTCTTTCCTCATGCTTGGGGGTAGTGGGTATGGGTGCTGGGTGGTCAGGCCTGTCCTATGGGTCTGGAGCTGCTCTACAGAGACCCCTGAGGAGTGGCTGGAGCGGACAGGACGGTGTCCCTTTAAACTGGGGTGCTCCTGAGCAGGCCCATTTGGGAGAGTCACATGGATTTGGGCTGGGGTGGGGGTGGGGTAATTACTATCCAGAGAAAGTATTTAAAGATAATTATACACCTCCCACTCTTCAAAATATAGCTTTGCCTGACAACTGGTTTCCTGGCAACACTTCCTACTGTATAATAAATGTAATGGTTTATTAGAATGTGTAAATTTATTTGTGTTTACAGATGCATGGAGGATACAGAAATTAAATGATAAAATAGGGAGGAGAAATTTGCCTGCTATTCATGTTCCCTTCACACTAACTGGAAGTCATTTTCTCTAAAAATAGAACCTTCCACATGTAGACACAGGAGAGAGGGATGGTTACGAATGGGTCTCATCCATGTCTCTAAACTTTGAGATCACTGCATTCCCAGGGGAAACTTCTGCTCTCGCAGCCCCAGCTCCGCCTGCCCTTCTCCCTACACTGGACCTTCCTCTTGCCTGTCCAGCTGCATGGCAAGTCCTCCCAGCTACCGGAAACTCCACCTTTGCTCCATCCTCTCTGTCCTGCCCCTCCTGTGGGGCTCACACGGAGTCCCAGCTTCTCCGTGATGCATGCTTCTAGTCTTCTCAGCCTGGGCACTCTCCAGTGCTTACTGTCTGCATTACTCATTTTAGTTACACATTCAAGAAATAGTTACTAAACACGACCATGGAAGGGTACCAGATACCCAGCAGCTAGCACAATGCCCTCAGGCCTCCTCTGTGTAAAACCTACCCGGAGACACAGACCACTAAGTGAGCAGTCACAGCAGGGCCTAAGTGCTGGGCGGGTCCACGAGGAAGTACACAAAAGGACACCTTAGGCAAGAAGGGTCCCCAGAGGAAACGACTTACCATTTCCTTGTATTGTCAGTTACCTTGTGTTTGTATGGTCCTGCCTCTCCACGGAGCTCACAAGACCCACGAAGGAATGGGGCTGTGTCTTACACTTGCTTACAGACCCATGGGACTCAGCCCAGTCCATCCTGCACAAGAACCCCTGGTTGACGGCATGGCTGAGCAGCAGAGATGAACTCTACGCAAATGGACCACCTCCCTCTGGAAGACAAGGCTGAAGATTCCCGGAGCTCTTGTGAACCAGGGCTCAGGGTAGAGGTGAGGAGAGGGCAGTGCTCATACCTAAAACAGTTTGCTTGATACGCAATGGCAGACAGGCATCTGGAATCGTAGACAACATCAAAATGATGGGCCCTGCAGGCTCCTTCAAGTGGCTAGAGTAAGTTTCCAATTTTTTTTTTTTTTTACTAGAACCAACAACAAACAGCACAGAAAATCATTAAGTGTAATTGTCTTGTAAATAAGTAACTTTATGAAGGACTATTAGAGATTGGGGCAAATTTGGATTTGTGCCTTGTTGCTGATGGCATGGCAGAAGTGGACAGAACACTGGAAGCACATTTCACTGAAGACTGGGCAAGCCAGTCCTCCCAATTTTAGAACCCCGTGAGGTTCACTTCAGAACTCCGTAAAGTTGAGCTCCAGAAACTCCAACTTGTCTAATTAATCCCTTCAGGTTGCAAAAGACTTCCTGCATCATTTGTTTCCTAACTGTTTACATTCTGTTCTGAACAGTGAGCTCCAGATGCTACAAATCTCTTATTTTAACTAATTCCTCTAAGCGAAAACCTGGATTACCAAGGGAATACTCTACGATGCCTGCAATATACTATGGCTGTCATCCATTAACTGGCCAAATTTTCCCTAAAGGTTCCATTCCTATACTTCCTTTAAAGAAACACGACTTTGGATCATTCTGTTTTGCAAATGGAATAGGCCAGTTTGAGACTCAAATTCCATTATCTGTAATTGTTCAACTGTTTCACCTAACTTGAAAAAATGATTAGGAATCCTTTCAAAATGTTGGTGGCATTTTCAATCTATTTGTAGCCTTTGATATTCCCTAAGCAGATACCATCAGTGAACTGCTGAATCCGGATCAGACAGCTGCTGGGTGATACCTGCTCATGTGTGAAACCTCCAGGGCCATGTGGCCTTGTGTGGCAGCTGCTAGCAACATGCAGCTACTGTGCATGGGAAACGTGGTCAGTCCAGACTGAGATGTGCAGTACTGGCAAAACACACTGAATTTCAGACTTAGCACAAAAGCATGAATGCAAAATATCTCATTAAGACTTTTTATATGAATTACATATTGAAATAGTAATGTTTTAGAGACACTGGTTTAAATCAAAGAAATTTCCTGTTTCTTTTTATTTTTTAACCTGCCTACTAGAACATTTTTAAAAGTACATATGTGGCTTGCATTGTATTTCTGTTGAATAGCATGCCTCTAGAGTTATGCACTCTGTGGACACACTAGCTATACAGGAACAGGGTTTACTATTCCTGGGCAGAACCTCATCACTAGGATGGCACAGGGATTGGCAGCAGAGCCCCTGGGTATGAGTTCTGACTCAGCCATACTAGAGCCCTGTGACCTGGGCCTCTCAAAGCCTCAAGATCCTCATCTGGAAATGAGTTTCGATGATAGTGCCAACCTACTAGCTGCAAGCCTTTAGGAGAACAAAAGCTGCTGTCTGCAATGCTGTGGTGTATTGTGGGGTGGCCGAAGAAGGAGAAGGCCTTCCCAGAGGCAGATGATCAGGGCTGAATGGCCAGCACGTAGCAAAGCCTCAGGGCCGAGGGAGACTCCAGAGGTTTACAGGCACCAAGGCTCTTTCCCTCTTGTTCAAAAGCACAGCTTGCACCATAGATCACTGGATGAAAATAATGTTGCCGGAGTGTTCCAGGCAATCTCTAACTCGAGACACAAGTATGCAATTTTCCCTTCCATCCTCTGGATCATATTCATTCATTCATTCATTTATTAATTTATGATTTAACCACTTGCATGAAGTGAGAGTGATATTTTGGAAATATTTTCAAGTGTATTTTTAATCCCTTTACTCTTATTGTGTGGGGGCTTTGGAACTGTTAAAGCACAACATGCTTTTTCAGCTTTGACTGTCAAATTGGATATTTTGTTTGAATCTGTGTCAAGTCTATTGTCTTACTGGGGCAAGATCTTTCATTAATTAATTCACTCACTCACTCAGCAAATATTTATTAGGTCCTTGTTATGTACCAGCCACTTCTCCAGATATTGGAGATAAAGCAGTAAGAGCCAAGCATTACTGAGAGAGAGAATTTTTTTTTTTTTTTTTTTTAAATTTTTGGAGCTCTTTCTCTGTAATAAGAGCCAGAGCGGATGGGGTGGACCCTAGATTTTTTATGTAGACGAGGTCTTGGTTTGAGAGAAAGAGGAACTGGGAAAAAAGCCTGTATTTTCCAGTCCTAGTGAAATGGGAGAGAAAGAAAGTGTCAGACGTGGAGCAAAAGTCAGACACCAGGGTCCTCACTTAATTTTTAGCCCTTGGGCACCACACCTCAAGAGGTTGGTGGGGGGTTGCTTTAGAAACACCCAGATGGCCATGGGGAGGCCCAGGGACACTGGAGCTGGTGGAGTGCCTTGGCAGACCCTGGGAGGTCAGCCCTTGACTTGAAGCTTATCCTGGCTGTTACAGAGGGCGTGATGGGACACCAGTAGGCCAACGAGCCTGCCGTAGTGCTGCTGCCTCCCCCAGTTCCTTCAGAGAGCGTGAGGGACTTCGAAGTGTCCGTGTACTCAGCTGAGGTGTAGAGGTGCTAAAGTCAGTGGGCCAACAGAACTCAAGGGTCAGAGAGCAGAGGTGGAGATTTCAAGGCCAGAGGCAAGCAGAGGGCATGGACTCCAGCAGTGGATGCTCTAACCAGATGGACCTCAGTGGGTACCAGTTCAGACAGCAGTCCAGCCTAGCCCCATGCAGCAGAGATGAGCATCCAGAGGGCTTGTGTGGCTTGTAGGACCAGCCCTCATCATTCCCTGCTTCCTGGAATCGCAAAGTCCCTCTCCCCCACGTGTCCAGCTCCATCTAAGAGAGGAGCTGGGACAGAGGCAATCTGAGAGACAAATCACTTTACCTTAAGGGACAGTTTAAAATACAGCACTGGGCTACGTTTACTCAGCTGGACGAAAATGTCTTTATGCTCCTGCCTTGTAGTAGGTAGGGCTAGGGAATCAAGATCAGCTCAATGATGAAAACCAACCAGTAATTTTTGGTAGATACACGCTTTGTGGGAGTGAATTCACATTCTCCCTGCATGCGTCTGTCCACTAATTCATTCAACACACATGTACGGACATTCACCACTGGACAGGCACTGAGCTGGGTGCTCTGAAAGTAACCCCTGTGAGGCATGCAGGCAGAGCCTCTGGGGGCAGGGGACTGTAAGCCAGTAATCCGAGTGTGAACTGCTGAGTGCTGTGACAGGGACATCAGCAAAGCACCAGGGAAGGGGGAGCTGAGTAACTCTCCCTGGAGTTTGCAGAAGGTATTTCCACTCCCAGCGAAACGGGAGAGAAAGCAGTAACATGGAAGCAGTAACATCTGAGGGTCTGAACAGAAGTCTGAGTTCTCCAGATGAAGGCCTGGGGGCATGGTGATTTAAGTGGAGGAACGGCTCCATGCAAGGCCCTCAACGTGCACCAGGACAGGGAACATTTAGATAACTGCAAGAAGTTCCCTGTAGGAGGAACAAAGGTTATTTTCACGGAAGTGCAGGAAGTGAGGCTGGGAGGCAGATGGGGGCTGAGGACCCTGGGTCCTTTTGTAGGTTCTGTCGTTGTCAAGAGCAGTGACACAGATGGGTGTCATAATCCTATGTGCTTTCCATCATCATCATAGTTCATATCTCACCATGTTCTATAAACATGAAGTAGGTCATGACAGTCACAAGGGTTCACTTTATGTTTCTTTTAACTGGACTTCATCTTAGAAGGGAGGAAAACACATCTGGTGCGACAACTTCCTAGGGACACTGCTGCCAAAAAGATGGACGGTCCGAGATCATTCAACAAATGTCAACCACTGGATTATTTGTCTGATCTGAGCCATAAGCTTTTTCTTAATGGCCATACAGAAAGTAGTTACCCCCTAAGAAGAATACCCCTTACCCTACTGACAACTCGTAGGCATTACCTTGGGCCACCCAACAGGGTGGCTGAGGACAGAGCTGGTGGTAGAAGGAAGGAAGAGCAGTGTGCGTCTCACTCACCTGAACTTGGACTTGGAGATCCGGTGGCTGAAAGAGAAAAAGGAAATGTTACCAAACACATGTGCATTTAAAAGATGTTCAACAGTCCCAGGGAAATTTGATGTTCCCCAGGTAACTTCGTGTAGGTGCTGGAAGGAGGCATGGTGTGAATTAGAACATCTTGGGAGAGAGAGAACACTATGTATTTGAATGTGGAGACTGAGGTCTGGCCCAGCTAGCATCTTCTAAGTACAATCCTTGCTGTAGAGGGAGAGTACCAGGTCCTCAGGGTCTGCCTAGAAAGTTCTATGAGGTCAGGTTAGGAAGAGCTGTATCTTGAGAAAAGCTGCAGAGGAAGAAAAGGCCTCTCCTGATGACAAGAGGACCCCAATAGCAGAAAAATCACAGGCAAGAACAGGTCGGCACAGACCTCACAGCTGTCTGCCAGAGCCCAGCTAGAGTGGGGTTATGAAGGGAAGACCAGCAAAATGAGCCAGCCAGAAATGGAGGGGCCACAACAGCCCCCACCCAAGAGCTACAGAGGGGGCCTAAGGAGCCAGCCCCAGATTCAGAGGAGAAACCCAGGATGCTGACAGTCACGTGCAGTCCTGAAGACCTGGGGACTTCTGGGCAGAAGCTCAGGGTGGGCGTGAGGGTGGCTGCCTGGAAGGGTCATTGAACAGGGAGGGGGTTCCATGGAAAGGCGGAACCTTCAAGGAAGTCCTGAGCCTCCCTAGTTCACGTAGGGAAGAGTGCATGGGAGGCAGGAGGCTGGGAGAAAAGGGCAGGCGGGAGAGACTGTGAAAGAGAAGTGTGGAGGAGAGAAGGCTGAGCCAAAGAGAGAGAAACAGAGTGAGAGAATGTAAGCAGCTGAGGTAATTAGAAGGCACCTGTCAGCTTGGCTTTGGTGCTAGAAGGGCGTGAACGCTGGGGATAGTGCAGGTGGTGACAATGTTCAGATGGAGAAGCAGAAGAACAGAACGCAAGTTAGAGATGAAGAAGGCAACGGAGACAGTGGTGGAGCAACAAGGAGAGGCATGGGGAAGAAACGCGAGAAGGGAGTCTGGGAGGCGACTGCCGCAGGCCTGCCATGTCCCAGCCGGGCACACAGCGAGCTGTGTTGCAGAGCAAGAACATGCCAGCCCCTCTCGTTATTTCTTATTAAAAAAAATTAAGCCAGAAGATGTGACAGGTGGCAAAGCCATCGTGCATGAGATAATTATATCTCTGGGGCACTGCGAATCAGAGCCAAGTGCCTTTACTGCTTTGAACCGTTAGCTAATAACCTCATCCCACCCCCATAGACTGCCTGTGAGGGCTGGAGGGTTTAATCACACGTTAACAGTGTGTGGGAGGGGGACTAGGAGCCCAGGGCAACACTGTTATTTACAGCCACAGTTTAACCAGCAAATGAATGTTTCCCAGCTGCTAACTGGGTGCTGGGGAACCCAGGTGCTCTCTTCTCCAGCGGGCCCATGCTGAGCCCCAGACCTTCAGCGTCTCTCCAGGCTGCTTTTGGGTGGTTGCCTCTCCTTGCTGTTACCCATAAGCCCAAGTGAGTGGGTGACCACGGCCTTCAGCTTTGTCACTCCGACTCCAAGCCTAGCCTGGCCCCAGGCCTTCTTTCAGAAACACCTCAGTAGTCTTGCCTGGGGTGCCCCCTGATGACGACCACCGGCCCTTTGCCATGAGGCGTTCTCTTGCTCGTAGTGCAAGCGGGTCACAAGTGCAAGTGGGCTCTGAAAAGCTCCTCTCTGGGGAAATCTAACCCTGAGTGTTCGTCTCCAAGGGAAATGACCCTGGGAAGCAGGACTGGCGCTGGGGGTGCTGGAAAAGGAGGTCCTGCTTCAAGCATGGTCGTGGACTGCAGGTCCTTCTGTGGCATCCGGGCACATTCTGAGCAAGAAATGGACAGAGCCTTCTTGTCTGCTTTGTGACGGGTCCGGATGGATAAGCCTGGGCACCACACTTAAAGACTGATTTTGTTGCTATTGTTGCTATTCTCTGGGATTGTGAGCACAATTTTAGGTTCGCGGGGACCAAAACCTCATCCCCTTTTAAAGGCTGGCACTTTTGACAAGCAACCGCCGAATGGCTAAGTTCCATGTTGGGCAGGCTCCTCTCCTGGAGAAGGGGAGGACACTGCTCAGCGGCGTTTGTCTGGAGACCGAGGAAAACTCCATGCCCGTGGGGAGCTGAGGTGAGAACTCCGTGACATCTGAACTCCTTGGTTCTTCCTGCTCCCTTTGCACACCTTGGAGTTAATGCTAGGACCTCTTTGCCTCCTGGGAGGTGGCCCAGGGTTCTGGGCTGGAAAGGTGCTCCTGCAGTGAGAGGACGCAAGCCAGGAGCCCGGGTGCCTTGGTGCCATGGTGCTGGTCCACATCCTAGGCCGGTTCACTGTGGCCAGTGCCTCCCTGCTACTGATCTTCACAATCTCCAAAGAACCCTGAGAACAGCTGGGGGCTCTGGCTTCTCTATGCACAGTGCACTCAGAAGGCTTCCTGGCTTTCTCCACCATCGTTGTTCCAATGAGGCACCATTCCTACCTCAGGTTGAGCAGATTCTTGAAGAAGAGCGAGGAGGGAGAGAAGGCTGGTGAGGAACACGAGACCATCAGAACAGTTCCAGTGGGTGGGAACTGAAGTTCATGCAACGCCAGATACTTTCTCCACCCAGGACTCTAAGAGAAACCTTTGGAGAGACCATGATTTTCCTTTGTGCTTTTCAGTTCAGAATTAGAGACAAGCCCCAAACTCTTTTTTTCCCCTAGTTACTCAGTTTGCATTTGTCATTATCTGAGAAATATTTGAACTTCTTGAGAGCTATTTATATTTTCAGCCTCTCCCCTCTTCTTAGAGGAACGAGTGCCATATGTTTACTACCTGCTGTGTAAAATAGTATTTCCCTGAATTGTCCCAAATTTGCCTTTAACGTAAGTCAGATGGCACTGCAGTCATCATTCACATTGACAATGCGTCTGACTCAGCATCCTTAACTCTGGGACTTCCTCTCCAGCACAGCTCTTATGATTGGGAGGGTCACATCCTGCCCTTGCCACGGCATAGGATTCCTTCCACTCCTGGGTCCTGAGCTCAGATGCTCCATGGCTCTGGCCAGAGCCTCCCTTTCTATGATCCCTCCTGCTCTTTCAGAGGACCCAACCTTTGTCCTCACTGGATCCTCCCCATCACTCACACCCTTTAACACCAGGCTTGACTACAATCATGACAACGTTGCCCTCAATACCACAGAGACTCCACACCGCCTGGGCCTTCTGCTGCGCCTGCATGGCTAAGCCCCACCCTGGGTCACCCCGCTGTCTCTTTTTAGTGCTCTCAGGCTGCAGAGTCTGCCAAAAATATGGCTGACTGCACATTTATGATACCAGTCTCCACCGTGGCATCAGTGCTGCCCAGGAACCTTTGGGCAACCTCTCGATGACTCACTGGTTTCAGTCTCCGTACTGTCCTTCAAGTTCCTGTGGCCCCTGACCCTTGCTTTGGGAGATGAGATGGCTGAGCTCATTCGGAGTGACTCCTATCACTGACCCCTTCATCAGAGCCTGTTTCTGATTCTATCTTCTTTACAGAACTGTAGGCCTTGAGAGCTGGAAGGGACCCTTAGATACCATGTGGACCTACAGTTTCCAATTTCTCCAGGTGAAGAATGCTTTCTTCACATGAAATCTTGCACCGCTGCAGGTGGTTTCCGCCCCCTGCCCCAGCCTCTGCTGAGACGTCAGTCCGACCCTTCTTTTTCCCAGAGGATGAGGCTGAGGCCCAGAGCAGAGCGCTTTGGCCAAGATCCCAGGGCTAGCTGGAGGTTGATGGGCACTAGACTCCGGGACTCCTCTTCTTTCATTTTCCAGTTAGTCCCAGGCGCACAGAAACTCCTCTTTCCTGAGCAAGTTCAGTGCCTCAAACTGTCTTTGCTGTCGCCCTCCTCCTCTTCAGAAGCAATGCCTTCCTGTAAGCACCTGCTTCCCCTCCAGCTGGTTTCGCCTCTTCCTGCTCTGTGACCTCTTCCTTGCCTTGAAGCTTGCCCTAGCTTTCATTACAACGAAGGCCAGCACTTCCCACACTCATGCTACTCCTCTTCACATGCTCCCATCTTCCTCCCGTCCATGGCCTCACTGCCTGAGTGAGCACCCTGTTCTGGCCCATTTCCACCCCTTCTCCCTCACTGAGACCGACTCCCAAGACCAGAGCCCTGCAACCCTTAGGGGCTAGCACCCCAGAACACACACACAGCACAGCCCCTCTTTCCCTCTGCAGCCCGAGCTGCCGCCACGCTACCTCGCACCTGCGCCAGGCTCTTGTGGCTTCTCATTCCTGCCTGCTCTTTTCCTGACATCGCAGTGATCCTTCAGGAGCTCCGAACTAACCAAATCAACCTCCCGCTCAGCTCTGTTCGGAACGCCCTTCAGCGACTTCTCACGCTCTTCTGATGCAGACCCAAATGGTTAAGGGTCTGCCAGGCCCTCAATAACTCACGTCCATCCTTCTGTTCTCAGCTGGAATTTTAATTCTGCAAAGAAGGCTTTCCTAACCTGCCAGTCCAAATCAGAAACCTTTGTTATCAGCCCGACATTACACTTACTTTTCCTTCTTAACACTTACCCCAATTTAGAGGTGCCTATTTATTTGCACAGCGTCTCTCCCACACTAGACCGTGAGCTCCAGTATGATGGCGTCAATTTCCTCCCCTGTTGTGTGTCACCACCACCTAGCCTAGCACCAAGCTGGGCAGACTGTGGAACGAATGCACAGATCAACAGCTCTGTCCTGAAATTCCTCCCCCCGCGCTTCCAGGCTGGCGCTGCTGCCTGTTCTAATGTTCCTTTGTCTGTTTTGCTTGCTTGGTCTTCTTCTTCTGTGTGTCCATTTCCCAAGATTCAGCCCTTGGTCTTCTGTTTTCCACTTCGCTCTGAACAACCCCGTCCTATCACCTCGTTGGTGGTTTTCATCCCGGCAACCTCAAACATGTGCGGCCACCCCTGTTCAGAGCTGAGCCTCGGACCTCCGTATCTCGTGGTCTCCATGATACCTGCAGGTCACTCCAACTGGGCTCCTGCTTCAGATTTCACTTCCGCCTCATTATCCTCTTCCCTAACTGCGATGGCTCCTTCCTCTTCATTACCTCCACCTGCCTGCCCCTGCTGCCATGAAATACCATGCTGTAGTTCTTTCCTCCCTTCCCCCAACAGGAACCATCTCCATCCAGGCCTTCTTACTACATAGCAGTCCTCGTCGTGACCTCATCTTATTACATAAGACTTTTAACCCTTAGCTTTAAAGATCCTGGTCACTCAGTGTCCCCTCAGACCATCACACTCAGTCTCAGTTCCCGTGCTGCTTCTCCTGCCAGGAATGCTGGCAGTGTCTTGGCCCATCATTGTCTGGGGCGGGGTGGGAGGTCGAGAGATGGGGAAAGACCACATTTTATTAGGGGCATATTATAATTCTGGCATGTGACTCAGCATTTTGTATGCACAGAGTATGAATGTGGCTAAACATGGGGATAACAGGGACCATTTCTGCAGCGCTCTCCAGGCTGCAGAGCACGTGCTCTGAGCAAACGACAGATCCACTGGAGACTGCCAGCCTCCATCCGCAGGGGAGTATCATGTTTCCTTCCTAACAGAGCCTCAGGCTCTCCTGAAATGTACTGTCCAGTGACTTCCTGGTGCCAGCTCCCTGGTCCCTCCTGGTATGTGACTCAGGCCTGCTCAACAGCCAGAGTTGCAGGGCCTTTGATCATCTCTCTAAGCCTCGTCTTGGTGGCAAGACGACAGAAAGGCCTAGAGCTGACGGACTTTGAAGCCTTCCTACGGGCCTTTCCTTGAGTTGCTGTTTGGGACCTACTGCCAGAAACTCAAGTACTTGTTTTGTACGATTCCAAAAGAAGAGGTTTGCACTGCTGCTTAAAAATGTAATTAGCATCGTATGTTAACAACATTTTGACAAGAATTGCTTCCCGACAATGCTGAGAAATCTGCAGTGCAGACTCCCGGGTGCCGCTGTCAGAGTGAGTGATACTGAAGCCCCACGCTCCCTGGAGACAGCGGCTGTGAGGGCTGCTCTGGCCTCATCCTCATTCTCCTTCCCCCACATGGGCTCCGAGGCCATGCTCAAGGCCGGCATTGCTGGTTTAGACTCTTTCACAGCTCAGCGTTGTGAAAGGGCTGTGTTCGCCCAGGCTCTCCGTCATTCCACAGCCGAGGAGGGAGGGGGAGATGCAGCCTCCCAGATGGAGCGATTCAGAAATGCATTGTATCCGGGACTGGTCTGACTCAGAGCCTCTGTTTGCAGTTCTTCCAGCGGCCAGGGTGAGTTTGCAGTCGTGACACCCCAAGGCAACAGAACAGCAGGCTCCACTGCACTTCTGCTTCCCTTACTGGCAGGATGACAGAGCTTCAGGTAAGGACCCACATGCCGGTCATCTCCCAGCGCATCTTCTCACCTGTCTGCTTCCCTCCCACGTCACGTTTATCAGAATGGAAGGGGTGGCCAGCAGGACTCAGGACCCTAACCTCGTCAGCTCTTTGAAGAGGGGTAAAAGGGACTGGAGTGAAAGAAACAGACTTCGGGGCCGCCCCCTACACACCCCCGCCTCTATATTTCTCAGATGTGAAGAAAAGTAGCTCAAAACCCAAGAGTCAGCGCCCCCGAAGAAGTGCTGAATTGAAGACGAGCCTTGATTTTAAGACTCACCCCCAGCCAGGGCCATCCTCACCCCAGAGCCCTCTGCTCCCCATCTTGGTTCCCACCTGAGGTTTGTTTCTTGCCACCGGCTCTAATCTCTGCCTTTCCCAGTGATGAGCCAGCCCATTGTGATTTCCAGATGCAGCTTTTCCACCCGTGCTCCAGAAAAAGCCCCAGCCCCTGGGCTCGCCGTGCCTACTCACGCCAGCCTGGCCCCGCAGTTTTCTCCCTCGATGTCACCTCCAGCCACGTTTTCGGTGTTGACGGACTCGGTCTCACTGGTGGGCATGCTCACTGCAAGAGTCAGAGGGAAGCAGAGCAAGGCATTGAGGGTGGGGAGAGAAGGGAACAGAAGAGCATCAGTTTGCAACACGCTCACCGCAAGACCCAGTGCAGGTTGACAGAAAGAGAGCCTGTGTGCACCGGCTGGCTAATCCGCACGGATCCCCTTGACTGACACGCCTGCTGCTTGTCCAGGGCAGGTTTTGCTGCCAAGAACACTTAAACTAATGGAAGTATGGGAGGATATCTGGTAATAACAGCATTTTACCTTACAGGATACATCCTGAAAAAACTGGCCACTGAATCTCTCCCCTCCACTCTGTGGACTGGAGGAAGCTGCAGAGCCTTTTCCGTTTGCAACTACCACTTGCCATAGAAAGAGGAGCTTTCGTGACAATATATCATTTTCCTTACTTCATCCCACCCACCATCTCTAAGGGGCTCCATCTCCAAGAGCAGGGACCAGCCTGTTTGTAGAAAGGGCGTGCTTGCTGCTGGGTGGACAGAGGCCTCCCCTTTTTGGCAGTCGGTTACTCCCAGGAGCACGACTGAGACACAGGAGCACGACTGAGACACAGGAGCACGACTGAGACAGAGGGCTTGAGGGAAATGGCCATTCCCAGAGCCGCGCACTGAGACTCAAACTAGCCCTGGAGACATCAGGAGTGAGGAGTGGAAGTGTGCAGTCCACACGATTATGTTTACTTGTGGTCAGAAGACAGCCTGTACGGATACTATTTCCCCTTTCAGCCACCCTGACGTTCCCATGTCAACAGGTTGACTTGGATATAAGCCGTTTAATTCAACTTGTCCACCCTCCTCCCAAGGCAGCTGTGGGCTGAATTTCCAGAACGATGGGAGTTTTCTAGCTTAGAACCCAGTTTGGTGGCCTGAAAGAAGTCATTATTATTATTATTATTATTATTTATTTTTTCTTCTAAATAAAAGTTTAACTCAAATAATTTTTCTTCACCTTCCATCACTCTCTTACTATGACACAATGTGTTCCTTAGTTCTGTAACCCTTATTCTTTAGAGTGGCCATCGTATGCTTGGCCCTGGTTCTGCTGTTCCTCCAGAATAGAACCCCTCATCTGCTGAGAAAGCCACCCGCCCTCAGCAGACACAGAATCTGCTGTTAGTGAGGGAGCGGCCTCCGGTGACAAGTCCCCGTGAGGCTGCCAGCGCCCAAGAAACACTTCTACTGGTCGTACGGATAATGTTGATGGATGTGGATTTTTCCTGGTGTCCTTTCCTTCGGATTAAGACAAGCCAGGTTGGTGAGAAGAGAATCATTTCAAGCATATGGAAGATACAAATGAAGTCCACGACTTACCGTATGTTTGACTGTTGTGTATGAGAGACCTCTCTGACCTTTTTAATAAAATTGAATTTAAAAAAATCCAGATGTCATTTCATAGAACTGTAGGGCTGGGTGAGGCTTTAGAAACTTTCTGGCTCTAACTCGTCCTCCTCACTCTGCAGGAGAGGAAAGCGAGGCCAGAGAAGGGATGTGATGCCCGCAGTCACGCGGTGTGTTCGAGGAGGCCTGGGACCAGGGCACAAGTGTCACACCCCCTGCACCATGTTCATCCTGAGTGCCCCAGTCTCAACCGCCTCTGCACTCTACACCCTTGGCAAAGACAAGCTTCTTAAAGCCTACTAGGCTCTGGGAGCACCACAGGAAGGCAGTGAGTAGCCAAACAGCCAACCGCCTCTGCACTCTACACCCTTGGCAAAGACAAGCTTCTTAAAGCCTACTAGGCTCTGGGAGCACCACAGGAAGGCAGTGAGTAGCCAAACAGGGGCACTGAATTCCATAGCATTACACTCACTTTATAGTCCGAAGTCTGGAGGGGCTGGTCAGACCAGCCCTCAGGGATGGTTTCAGGCCTGGGAGCTGGGAAAACGGACCTTCAGAGCTTGCCAGGGGCCCTGCTCAAACCACACTAAGGGAGCCATAAAATGGAAGCACTCTCAGTCTTCCAATCCATCTATCTCCAGCCATCTCGGCCCTAAGATTTTTTAATTTTAATTTTTTATTTTTTAGCTCTCCACCCTCTGGACATCCTTGCTTGAAGGGCCAGGCCATGTAGAAAAAGTTCTGTGACTCTGTGACACTTGGTTCCCAGAGCCTTACGTGTGAGTACAGTGCTGTGGAGGTGGCGGTGCTAGGCTTGGAAAGGCAAATGAACTTGGAGGGGCAGGCCTGGGCACTAGAAATACGGACAGCACCTTCTAAATCGAGGCACTGCCTGTACTGGTTCCAACCGCGCATTCACAGTGTCCTTACTCCAGGCCAGCACTGCCCAAAGGAAGAGCTCCTGGAGGAACGGCTCTGCCAGTTGTCACACCCACTGACTTTATACATATGAAGCAATGACAAGGCAGTGCCGTTGAGGGGGACAGGTTGCCATCCCTTCACAAACACACGGACACACACACAACATATATACATACACATATATGCACACACACAGAACTACTGCGGCACAAGCCATCAAGAGAAACACCCTGCCGTTCTGTCTGGTATGGACCCATACACATTTACACACACACAGCACAGGGCGATATTACCATGGGTTTCTGTGGAATGACTAAACCAAGCAAACTTCCCTTTCTTCTGATCAAGCATGCCCGCCGGAGTGCCTCCTTTCACAGACAAGATGGTCAGTGTCAAGAACCAGGAACAAGACATCAACAGAGCACACGCAGTCAGCCACGGGCAAAAGAAAGAAACAAGGAACTCAGCTTTCACATAGAATATCCATTTTTATCACAGAAAATAAACAAAAAAAAATTCGAAGCAATAAATCAAAACATATAGGAAAACAACAAAATAGAACCAAACCCCCAACTCACATGAATTAACATCACAAAACAAATGATGACCCTGGAGAGAAGGAATTACTCCAGGAGAGAGAGGCTATCTGGCATATCTAATGAAAGACTTTGAGAGGGCTTCCTAGGAGGGGGCTGGCACTCATCCCTGCTGCTTCCTTAGGGAGCTGTTGCCCTTTGCAGGCTCAAGTGGGGTCACCGCTAAAGTCTAGCAGTAGCCCTGGTATCCTCTTCATCCCTACCCAATAGCCAGGTGACTTGTCTCCTCCCTCACATGGGACCACACTGCAAAACTTTCACCTGTAGTGGATTCAAGGGTTTCCTCGCTATTTGCACCTGGAT